ATTACTAGTGTCCAAAGGTCCTGCCAGAAGACATAAATACTTTCTTTAGAAAATACCATCATATTGGACTACAAAGTATAGTTTCCTCATAAATAATTCAATCAAAACAGTTCTGACATTCAATTAAAACATAACCTAAACAAAGTTTTATATACTTATTATGTTTATAAAATAAGCAAATAATATAAAATAACATAAAATAAGGGACATAAAAGCAAGACAATGTGGTAACAACAAGAAACATGAAGTGTCAGATAATAGCGGGGACCATAGTTATTAGATACAGGTTTTACAGTAATTATGATTAGAATGTTTCAGGAAATAAAAGATAGAGATATTTGGCAAACAACTGGAAACAATAAAACAGAATCAAGTAGAAATGTTTGAACTGATAACAACCAAAAATATAACTAAAATAAATGTTTCAACAGAAATTTTTAACAGATTAGTTACTATTAAAAGAAAATAGTGAACTGAAAGTTAAGAAGAAATATTCAGGATGAAACAGAGAGAAGAAAACAAATGGAAAATACAAGGGACAAAATAAATTGTCAAATACACATGTTAAGTGGAGTACCAAAAGAAGAGGAGAAAGGAGAGTGAAAGCAGAAGCAATGTCTGATGAAACAGAGCTGAGAATTTTCTAAAACAGTCTAAGGACATCACATCCAGATTCAAGAAACATTACAGATCTCAAAGAGAAAAAAAAAAGAAGACAAAAAATACAACCAAACAAAAAAGCAACATGTCAGCACGTCAAACTTAAGACAAACCTCTTAAAAGCAGCCATGCAAAAAAAGAGATCGCTTTTGAAGAGGGAAAAATAAAATGGACATAATGTCTCATAAGATACAATGGAAGCCAGAATGAATAAAATCTATCTTTGAAATGATAAGATAGCTGCTAATTCAGCAAAAAGTTCTTAGAAAATGAAAGTAAAATAAGACAGTTTCAGGACAGAAAACCTGAAAGAATTTGTTACCAGTAGACATTTAAAGAAATATTAAAGTATGTCCTTCAAGAAGAAGAAATAAGATCTCAGACGGAAGCTGAGATTCCAGGAACCACAAAACACAATAAAAGTAAATCTTTGGGAAACTATATATTGTATAAAAAACAATAATGAGAATAATACTATAATAATAAAATTTATTCTTATAATTTAAATTCTTTAAATAATGAGAATTTAAGTGAGGATTTAAATAATGAGAATTAAAAAATAAATGAAAATTTAGGAAATACATATTAAGAATATACAAAGTATGTAATATGGAGTGGGGCAGTAAATGAAGTGTTCTCAGGTCCTTACATTGTCCTGGAAGAAGTATAATACCAAATTATCTTAGAAGATGATAAACCCAAGTTCCATGTTTTAATACCTGAGGTGAATAGTAAAAAGAATACTAAAAGATATCTGTCAAGCTTGTGGGGTAGAAAAATGGAATAATTAAAAATAATCTAAAAGGTCTACAGCCATACCACCCTGAATATGCCTGTTCTCCTCTGATCTGAGAAGCTAAGCAGGGTTGGGGTGATTGGCAGTTGGATGAGAGTCTGCCGCGGAACACCAGGTGTTACAGGCTGAATTAAAAAAGAAATCCAAAAGTCAAAAGAGAAAATAAACATAGGAGAGGTGAGACAAATAGAAAAGGAACAATGACAAATTTAAATCCAAATATGTTAGTAATTATGTTACATGTAATCAGACTAGATATTCCAATTAAAAAACAAATTATCAAAGTGTATTTAAAAAATTATTTTATCACTCTTTGTATTAAAATGTTCTAATTTTTTTTACATTTGCACAAAGAATAAAACCTAAACTCTTTCCTGTCTTTCAAAGGTAACATGATCTAGCCCTTTCCTATGCCTCCAAAGTTACAGTATTCTCCTCTTAAGTCACTATGCTCCAATCATGCAGGCTTTCTTTTGGCTCCTGAAGTATTCTAAGCTAGATCATGCCTTAGATTTTTTGCACTGTTGTCCTTTCTTGCAAGCAACGGTTCCCCAGAGTTTTACAAAGCTGGATTTTCTTGTCATTTACATAGCAGCTTACATGGTACTTTATTTTCCTTAATCACCTAATTTAAAATAGTCATGCTTGAATTTCATGCCTAGTACTTACCACTATCTTCTATTTTTAGTTAATTTATGGTTTATTGCTACTAAAATGAAAATTTCCTCACAATAGAGAAAATATCTGCTTATTTACTATTTCCTGAGAGTGTAGAAGAGTGACTGATAATTTCATATTCAAAAAATATTTAATGAATGAATAAAGCTAATTAAAATTTTAAACAGATACTTTCAGACTGTTTTGTCTTTTTATTGCTGTTGGTGGCAATGGTTGTTTAAAGACTTTCTTGATGCCAAAAAATATCAAATGGAGTCAAGTTCCTATTACGTACGTTAGTGGTCCTTGAAAATGTGCATTGTACAACCTGTGTAAAATTGCAAGGGATATTTCACCAATTAATCAGACATGTGGCATATTCCTAAACATAACTGTGGTAAGCTACATGAAAATAAACATTAAGAGGAAGTCTACTGAATTGTTAAAGGTTGCAATGTACTTCAGAATAACATTTAAAACATTTTTTTTTCCAGCCTGAAAGATGAGAGTAATATAGATGTTAAAAAGCATAATGCAATGTTGAAAACCAAAAAAAAAAAAATCCTTATTTATTTATTTATTTTTGAGATGGAGTCTTGCTCTGTTATACAGGCTGGAGTACGGTGGTGCAATCACAGCTCACTGCAACCTCCGCTTCCCAGGTCCAAGCAATCCTATCACTTCAGCCTCCCATGTAGCTGGGACTACAGGGGTGTGCTACCATGCCCAGCTAGTTTTTGTATTTTTTGTAGAGATGGGGTTTTGTCATGTTGGTCAGGCTGGTCTTCCTGACCTCAAATGATCTGCCTGACTTGGCCTCCCAAAGTGCTCAGATTACAGGCATGAGCCACTATGCTCAGTATTAAGTTAAAAAAAAAAAAATCCCTCAATATAGAAAAGCTGTTTTAGAGTGTCAATGCTAGCAGTGGTGATTGATATATTTTGGTTACTTTTTACTCTCTGCGCTTAGGATTTTTTTCATGTCAAAGCAATCATACTGGGCACAATTTTGCATCCTGCTGTCTTAATCTGGGCTGGTATAATCTAAGCACCATAAACTGGGTGACTTAAACAACAGAAATTTATTTCTCACAGTTCTGGAGGCTAGGAAATCAGAGAAGAGAGTGTCAGCATGATTGGCACAAATCAGGCCCCCTTCCTGATTTGTAGTTAGTTGTCTGTTTTCTTGCTGTATCCTCACATGGTGAAGAGCAAAGAGGGGAAGCAACCTGTCTAGTATTTCTTCTTGTAAAGGCACTAATTCCATAAGGGGTTCACTCTCATTACTTAATTGTCCCCCAAAGGCCCCACCTTCTAATATCATGTCATTGGGGATTAGGGTTTCAACATATGAAATTTTGTGTGGGGGGAGAGAGGACACAAACATGCAGTCTACACAATGCTTTTTAGTTTTTTGAGACAGGATCTTGCTCTGTTGCCCAGGCTGGAGTGCAGTGGTGTGATCTCAGTTTACTGCAGCATCTACCTCTTAGGCCCAAGTGATTGTCCCACCTCAGTCTCCTGAGTAGCTGGAATTACCAGCACACACATCACAGTCAGCTAATTTTTAAATTTTTGTAGAGATGAGCTCTCACTATATTGCCTAGGCTAGTCTCTAACTCCTGTGGTCCAGTGATCCTCCAACCTCAGCCTCCTAAAGTGCTGTGATAACAGTAGTGAGTCATTGTGCATGGCCTAAAATGCTCTTTTAACTTAGAAAATAAACATTTTCCATTAGAAAGACTAGACCAATGGCTTTTAAAAAGAGCTAGATAATATTCCACTAAACATATATAACAATTGATCAATCTTATTATTGTACGTAATACCGCAACAAACTTTTTACCATTACAGGTATTACTACAAATAACATCTTTGCTGTAAAGCATTTTAAGGGCAATTTAAATGAAGTAACTGTTTACAACATTCATTCAAATTATATTTCTTAAGGGAAAGGCGGGAAAACAAAACATGGTCCCAGCTCTGGAGGAATTTATAGTCTAATTAGGAAAACAGTATACGTTAGAAAAAAAAGAACAATTACAATGAAAGCATATGACACACTTGTTCAGAAAAAGCAGAAATGTCTTAAAAAAAAGCTAATAACATTTTGCAAAAAAATATGGACTGAACTGCGAAAAAGCGATATTATCTTAAGGGTTGAAAGAGTTTCAGGTCAGTGTGGGTGTCGTAACTTTTTGTTGGTCTTGAAAGCACTTGAGAATAGTTCTCACTCAGGAAATTTCAACTGATGATAAAGCCCGAATGGAAGCAACCAAGACTTTTCTCAAAGATTATGCTCCTAATTTCCTTGCTGAAACTACTGAATTTCTTTTAATCTCCATTCTCTATCTTTTCGTCCCTTTCATTATTGTCCCCTTTCTTTGTAACTTTGTCAAAGATACCCACTATTTTAAGTAATGGAAATGGAAATTATTCTATTTTAAGGCAGGCAACCAATAGCTAACAATATTATTCTACAAAATAAGAAAGACTGGGTGGCACTACCTTAAAACATATATGCATTTTAAGCATTAAAAATATTTTTCACATGTAATAGAGAGAAACGTGTGAAACAGAACGTTTAAGAATATTAACCAAGAGTTATTTATCAACTTGCCATACACTAAATAAGGAACACAGAACTCTGTGATCTATTAAAAATGACAAGCAGATAATAAAAACTGCAATTTCTTTTCATGGTTTTACTCTAGCAGGAATGGATTCCATCCTGATAATTCTAGCTTTACTGTCACATAGAGGGAGATACTTTGTGAACCTCAATGAGACTGCCAGGTTTAGGATAGACAGAAGAACCACAGTGCCAGAAATGAAAGAGTGAAACTTCACAGAATGTGTTGTCTCTAACAGGCTGACAGCCACTTACCTTCTCCACGTTTTCTTCTCCAAGGATAGCAGCTGCCTCCCACAGATACACCAACAGACAATTCCAGCCCCTCTCTACCACACTTAGCATTTGCAGAATACCCTGTGGCTTGTCTATTTACAACCTTGTCCCTACACAGCAGAAGAGGAACCCTTCAGGAAGTTCTGGATTCATCCTCAGCAAGATGTTTCACAAACTATTCTCCAGTTCCACCTACCCTCCAGTTGTTCTGTCAATACTTATGATTCCTAGATCTTCTTTAATTGTCATGCTGTTCGCCCCCCCACAAAACAAAATTTAAACTTATAAAACAAACAAACAAAAAAGCCTCACGCATTCAGTCTCTGTCCCCTTTCCTGATATAAAGCAACTGCCCTGTGCATGCTTCTTTTAGATGGCTGAGAACTCCGATTCCTCGAGTCTTTGGGCCATTTATAGCTTGGATACCACGCCCTCCAGGTACTTTGATAAGGAGGATAAAACTTAATATCTATAACTACGTCTGCCTACTCAACCTTTTTTATTTCTCCCAAAACTTCTTAGTTTCCCTTACTAATTCCAATTTCGTAACAAAATGTCACACTATGGTACAAAGTGACCTCCTGGATAAAATTACTGATAGCTACAACCTAAGTAAGGATCCCCAAGTTATGAGACAAATTTCTGGGTTTAAAGTATTCTGTACATCCATTTCAAGCCTGTCTCCAGTACGATGTCTCATTATAATTAAACAAAAAGGCAGAAAAAGTCGAAGGGAACAGAGTTTGGAAAAAACACAAAATTAAAAGGTATATGGGGGTTTCACTTATTTGCATCTGATATATATATCTAGATGGAAAACGTCCATATTGGAACGTGTTAAACAGGCAGAATTTTCTTCCTGGTTTCTCTGCTCTTGGTAGATGTTCTTCTGACTTCAATTGGCACCTGTGAATAGCGAAGAAACTTCTCACTATAAGATGCCATTGCCCTGCGGGAGGATAGAGCTAGGGTGCCCATTAAGGCAGGGAACAGAAGCAACAGAGGGACAGGTCTGTGGAAAAGAGGATATGCCAACAAGGGATCGAGTCGGGAAAACGAATGGGTAAAAAGAAGGCGTCAGTTAAGCTGAGGAAAAGACAGCCAAACGTGGTCTTTACTCCGTCTAAATCACCTGGGTCTGTAGCCGACTTCCATCGCGCATCCTCACTCCCTTGCGCGGCCCACTGCCGCCCCTCCCGCTCCCCACACCAATGTGTTCCTCAGGCACCTCTCAGACAGAGGATGAGCACCAGCTGAAACCACCCAACCTACCTCAGGGTCCTCGCAAACGCAGCCACTGCGCTCCGCCCGCCCACTTACCTGTGCTGCGCCTGCGCCTCCTACGCGCTCTCAAGGTCAGCACCGCCCCCAGCCCATAACCTGGCACCCACGGAAGTTGCTTTAGAGGACGTCCTGCGTATCTTCACCTCAGCGTGGCGTGGGGTCGACGTAGCTCTGGAGTAGGGAGGAACTTCCTGTCCCGCGCGCGCAGAACTTCCGGCAGAGCCGGAAGACCCTCACTCTCGCTGTTTGAGAGGCTCCCGGCTCAAGGACCCGGAGGGAAGAGGTGTGGGACTGTCCCGGCGACTCCAAGGTGTCTAGTCCACCACCTATCCTAGGTACCATGGTGAGTTATTGTGTGAGGGCAGGAGTGACAACAGTGGAGCGAAAAGGGCGGGGAGGTCAGTCCTGTGAGAAGAGCCGTCGGGTGCTCTGCTCTGAATGGAGTTGAAACGTTGGGATGAGCTGCTGGGCAGGACGCACCACCTATCCCAGGGTGTTTGAGCCCCTGAGGAAGCAGCATCAGGCCTGCCTGGCTGGAAGACTAGCGGGCAGGAGGCAGGAGTGTCTCTGTCAACGAGTATGGACTGGGTAGTCTGCCTGTTAATGGCCCATTCACTGTGTATGGCCTGTGGCGGCAGGTGATCCCAGAGTTGACCTTGACGGGTCGGTCACCTCTGCGCCCCCCTCCCCAGCCGCAGAACAGTAGCCAAGAACTTCAGATCTTGGAAATGCTTTTAGCCTCTCCAAGTGGACACAACGGATCCCCTTGTACAGGATCAACATCTGTCATTTAAAGAACGGCAGCGTCACGTTATTCTTTATATTTAGCTATTTCATAATTGAAAAGGTGTCAAATAAAAAACCCGAGTTTAGTAGGGGCAGACTTTATTCGAAAGGAACATGGCAAGCGTGTGGAGGAAGGTTGAAGGAACTGTTGCAGTAGAAAGAATGACCATAAGATTTGCAAGCGTCTTAAAGGTTAGGTAGAAAGGGTTTGTCTTTTATAGGGAGGGGTAAATAAAATGTAACGAATTGGGATGAAAAGGTGGGTATGCTCCGACAGTAACCAGATTATGTTTTACCTTGAGGCCATCTATTCTGAGGAGGAGCTGTTAAGAGAGGTTTGTATATGTCGTTTCAGAATGAGGGAAGGACAACATTCAGGGACCTGGGGGCAGAGAATCTTAAAGTTTGGCTAATAAGTATTTTGTTCTGATTGATCTGTGGGACAGGCACTTCCGCATGTCATTTACCAAGCAAAGGATGGGAATTAGAAGGATCCAGTTATGGCCTTGTTATAGTTAAACAAGGGGTTGGGGCGTATGGGTCAACCCTTAGTCTTATCTGAGTTCTGCAGGAAAGGTGATTCTTTGCAATAAGCCAATTTCTCAGAACACAAACAGGGGCAAGGTGTTTCTTAACCTTTACTGTTTTTCAAGATCACAGGGCTCTGGTGAAGTTCATTATAGTCAGTTTCTTGATTGTATAGAAGATTTGAAACCCTCACCTGCAGGAGCCCCTGACCTGGAATTTAGCTTCAGTTTACCCTGTATTTTCAGGGCCAAATATTGCCAACGTTCAGTTAATGTGTGTGGTAATTGGCTTTTGAATGACTTTTAGAAACTTAGCTGAGTGTAAAACAAAGACCTTCAAAATAATGTAGTTCCTGGTGCACTTTTCCAGATAACCTATCTCTTCAAAGGTTTTTTTTTTTCTTATTTATTATTTTTTTAACATCAGTGAATAATATGGTTTGTATTAAGAGAGTTGTTTTTCATTTGTATCAGTGAAATTAGATGAGGATAGGGAAAACAGAACTGGTAGGAACCAAAGCCTAATTAGTCACTCTTCCATCCCCATTTTTACAGAAAAAAGAATCTGGGGTCTAGAAATTGACAGTGATTTATCTAAGGTAACAATAGCTTGGCAGTCTAAACTAAAACTCATATTTTCATTTTTAAAATTTGAGGTTAAATTTTGACTTTTTGGTCTGAAAAGTTGAAGAGAAAGTATGATTAAAATACTTAAAATCATCATACTCACAGAAAAGCTAAATGTGAACTTGTTCTCAGTGTTCTGGAATACTAGAAGTAGAACCCCTCTCATCCTGTCAGTTCAAAAGAGGTAGTTATGTTTGAAACTAATGTAATCTTGTACAGTTTTTCTGAATGTCACTTTAGAACTAACTAGTTGGCTGTCTTCATTCTGGGATTGCTTATATTTCTGAGTTAATTCCGTTGGCTGAGTTTTATCTTTCCCAGCTATGAAATTGGTAATGTCTGTATACGCCAGTGTGGTTAATGCTTGGAATTTTTCAAAGGAAAGGTTTTAGCCATTAAATGAAGTGAACATGGGCTGAATTTATTGAGGATTCAGCTTGTTGAAATCAGAACTTGTTTTGCATTGCTGGGGCCTAATGATACTATTAAAAGAACATTAGTCTTGAACTCAGAGGACCCAGATTCTGCCCATTGTTAGTTATGTGTATTTGGAAAAGTCACTCAATTTTGATAAGAGTTTCAAATTCCCCCTAGATAAGAGAACTTGATGAATGTTAAAGCATCTTCTTACATTATGATTCCGTGACTACTCAGAACGTTTTTTAGGATAGTTACATGTTTCAGATTGAATAAAATTTAGTCTGATTTCCACTGTTTAGTTTCCATGCCATTTTGGTTTAAGTTTGGTTTCTTTTATCATTCTCTTTTATTTTTTCATAAGTCACATAGGTAATACTTGGAATCTTTGTATGTTTGGCCAAGTCTTTCACTACTGTCTTAAATACTGCTCCAGAATAGAAAGCAATCTTGGAATGTTTTGATTTAATTCTTGTTTCAAATCAGTGATAACTAATTCTGTGCTCTCGTTCTCTGAAACGTTATGTAGACCAAATCTCAGCAGATACCTGTGCATATAATAAGGTTCTTGTATTATGAGTGAAGGAGAATAGGATTATGATCCAGACTTGAAAATACTGAACTCATGCTTTGTTTTTATGCTTTCAAGTTGTTGTGAAGATAGTTTATAGGAAATTTACTAATGGAATAAAGCCATTTGCTCTATTGCACTTTACTTTTTGAAAATTACAGACCAACTTTGATCAAATAGAAATCTTTCTATCAGTCAAGCTAATTTGTGGGAGATAGTTTAGAGCTAGCTCCTGGAATTGCAAGCTTGTGTCTGTGTATCATCCTGTAGTAGATTACTGTTGGAATTGAACAATGGTTTGCGGGCGGGTGTGGGAGAGTGGATTGTGGGGAGGTTGTAAACCTTTGCCATAACCAGTTGGATTTAATGAGAACTTTTCTTTTTGAGGGGAGTAAAGTGGAGTTTGGGGAAGAGTGTAGTAAATGTTTTAAGCGAAGCACATGTGATATGTTCATAGAGTACAGAGAAAATAAATTAATTCTAACTGAGGGGGGTTGGGTCATGTAGTAGGTGACAAGTTCCCAACCCCTGGGACTGTGAACTTGTACTGGTCCGCAGCCTTTTAAGACTTCCATTGCACAGCAAGTGAGTATTAATGCCTGAGGTCCACATCCTGTCAGATCAGTGGTAGCATTATTCTCATAGGAGCGCAGACGCTATTGTGAACTGTGCACGCGAGGGATCTTGGTTGGGTGCCCCTTATGAGAATCTAATGCCTGATGATTTGAGGTGGAACAGTTTCATCCTGAAACCATCCTCCCTCCACACTGTTCCTCCCCACCCCCTGCCATGTGTGAAAAAATTGTCTTCCATAAAATCGGTCCCTTGTGTCAAAAAGGTTGGGGCCTGATGTAGTAGGTGACTTCAACTGGGTTTTGAAAAGTGGGTTAATATACTAGTTCTCAAACTTGAGTTTGGATAGGAATCCCCTTAATTCTTGATAAAAAAGACTTCTCAGGGCTGGTGCAGTGGCTCATGCCTGTAATTGCAGCCTAGGTGGGTGGATCACCTGAGGTCGGGAGTTTGAGACCAGCCTAACGAACATAGAGAAACCCCATCTCTCTTAAAAATACAAAATTAGCTGGGCATGGTGGTGCATGCCAGTAATCCTAGCTACTCAGGAGGCTGAGGCAGGAGAAACCCTTGCTGCGGTGAGCCAAGATCTAGCCATTGCACTCTAGCCTGGGCAACAAGAGTGAAATTCCATCTCAAAAAAAAAAAAAAAAAAAAAAAGATCAAAAAGCAAAACAAAAAAAACACTTCTCTGGGCTCATAAAATTGGGGGTGGCATGAGTTTTAGAATTGTCTTTTTAAAATTTTTTTAAATTTTAAGTTCTGGGATACATATGCTGAACGTGCAGGTTTGTTACATAGGTATACATGTGCTATGGTGGTTTGCTGCATATATCAACCTGTCATCTAGATTTTAAGCTCTGCATGTATTAGGTATTTGTCCTAATGCTTTCCTTCACCTTCCCCCCCACCCCTGACAGGTCCTAGTGTGTGATGTTCCTCTCCCTGTGTCCGTGTGTTCTTATTGTTTAACTGCCACTTGTAAGTGAGAACATGTGGTGTTTGGTTTTCTGTTCCTGTGTTAGTTTGCTGAGAATGACAGTTTCCAGCTTCATCCATGTCCCTGCAAAGGACATGAACTCATCTTTTTTTATGGCTGCATAGTATTCCATGGTGTATATGTGCCACATTTTCCTTATCCAGTCTATCATTAATGGACATTTAGGTTGGTTCCAAGTCTTGACTGTTGCTAAATACAGCCACAATAAACATACGTGTGCATGTGTTTCTATAGTAGAATGATTTATAATCCTTTGGGTATATACCCAGTAATGGGATTGCTGGGTCAAATGGTATTTCTGGTTCTAGATCCTTGAGGAATCACCACACTGTCTTCCACAGTGGTTGAACTAATTTACACGGCCACCAGCAATGTAAAAGTGTTGCTATTTCTCCACATCCTCTCCTGCATCTGTTGTTTCCTGACTTTTTAATAATTGCCATTGCAACTGGTGTCAGATAAGATGGTATCTCATTGTGGTTTTGATTTACATTTCTTTAATGACCAGTGATGATGAGTTTTTTTCATAGTTTGTTGGTTACATAAATGTCTCCTTTTGAGAAGTGTCTGTTCATATCCTTTGCCCACTTTTTGATGGGGTTGTTGTTTTCTTATAAATTTGTTTAAGTTCCTTGTAGATTCTTGATATTAGAATTGTATTTTTAGTAAGTTCTACAATTAAGTTCTTCTTATTTTTTTTTTTTATCCTTACTGTAGCACTGGATGCAGTTAAAAGTTAAATTGGTGGACCTTAAACCTCTGTTAGAGAGAAATGCAAGTATAAGAGACTTTGATGGAGATACTGGAGGTCCTTTTGCTAGCTGAGTGATAATTTGACATGTGCAATTTAAAGGATGGATTCGGTCAGGTATTAGCAGCTAACAACTAAGGTTAACTTTTAGGTTTAAAATATCTAGATTTCTTCTCAGTTCTCCGACATTATTTTCTTCTGTCTGCTTTCCTTCACTACTTTCCTACTACAGAGGCCTCGTTGAGGTAATGTTATAGACTGACTTTTCTTTTGGTTAGTATTTGGTTGATTCAAGGTTGGTTTTTAAGATTAGTTAATATTTTGGGCTTTGATTCACTTTTTTAAAAAAAATAGTTTTTTTGTTTCCTCTGGGACAAAAACTTAAAGTGAATTTAGTTGATTTCAGAAAATCAGATGATATTCGAAAGTGTTCATTTCTAAGAGAGAAATTACTATTTTCTTACTGTTGTTAGTGTGGGTTTTGCCCATGTTGGTAAGAATGAATACAGCTTGTCTCAAAGGAACTTTGTAGAAATAAAGTTAAGTATAAACTGCTTTTCTACCTTTTGTATACCACTTACTTTTAAGTTATAGAAAAAAAGAAATCCTTACTGTCATGGTGAAATGAATATTCTTGGGTTTGAAATGACTGTACCTTTTGTTTCACCAAGCTTAAAAAATGTTCTTATCTCAAATCATACATTTGTTATTTATTCACTATCTGTATGCCAGGTACTGTTCTTGGCAACAGGGATATAACTGTTTATAAAGCTTAGAGAATCTTGGCCCTCATTTACTGGGAGAGGCTGATGATAATCTTGTGATGAAATGGGCATGTAATATGGTAGTTGTGATGCATTTAACAAAGATAGAGTAAGGGGATGGAAAATACCTGTTTTACATAGGGCATGTAGGGAAAGCCTCAATGAGGAGGTGATATTGTAGCAAACTTGGATTCATAGATATTCAGCCCATGTGCCTGGTACCTATGAGTACATATTTATTAGCTGCCCCTAAAAAATATTGTAGTACAGCGTATCTAAAAAGCAAACACAGGCCGGGCGCGGTGGCTCACGCCTGTAATCCCAGCACTTTGGGAGGCCAAGGTGGATGGATCACGAGGTCAAGAGATCGAGACCATCCTGGTCAACATGGTGAAACCCCGTCTCTACTAAAAATACAAAAAATTAGCTGGGCATGGTGGCGCGTGCCTGTAATCCCAGCTACTAAGGAGGCTGAGGCAGGAGAATTGCCTGAACCCAGGAGGCGGAGGTTGCGGTGGGCGGAGATCGCACCATTGCGCTCCAGCCTGGGTAACAAGAGCGAAACTCCGTCCCAAAAAAAAAAAAAAAGCAAACACAATGCTCATACTGTTTTTAATTGTATAAATCTTTCCATAAATTTATTTACTGTCAACTTTCCAAACAGTAAACAGAAAAATAAATGTTTTTTAAAGATAGTAATAGATTATGTGAAATTTCATGTAATAGATTTTATTTTTGTGTCACATTAAAATTTCTTTCAAAGACATTTTTAGGTTTATAGCAATTTTAAGAGGAAGATACAAGAGATTTTCTCTTTATTCCTTGCCCTCACACATGCATGGCCTCTACTGTTAACATCCTTCACCAGAGTGGCAAATTTCTTACAATTGATGAAGATACATTGACATACCATAATTACCCAAAGTCCATAGCGTACTTTGGTGTTCATTCTTGGTGTTGTACATTCTGTGGGTTTGGATATAGTTTGGATGTAGTTGGAATCTTACAGTATGTAGACTTTTCAGATTGACTTCTTTCACTTAGGAGTATGCATTTAAGGTTCCTCTGTCTTTTCATGGCTTGAGAGCCCATTTCTTTATAGGGTTGAATAATATTCCATTGTCTGGATGTACCACAGTTTATCCATTTACCTACTGAGGGATATCTTGGTTGCTTCCAAATTTTGGCAATTATGAATAAAGCTGGTATGAACATCTATTTACAGTTTTTTGTGTTGACAAATGT